TAGAGAAGAGAGGGGAGAGGAGAGATAGAGAGGAGATGGAGATAAGAGAGAGAGAGAGAGATGATGATATATATATATAGGAGAGATAATAAGAGATATATGTAAGATGAAGATGAGATATGATATGGATATAGAAGTAGAGATAGAGATGTAGATAGAAGATAGTATAGAGAGGGGAGATAGAAAGAGAGAGGAGAAGTGGGGAGAGATAAGAGAGAGAGGAGGGAAGATGAAGCGAGAGAGAGATAGAGAGAGAGAGAGAGAAGATTAGATGATATAGAGAATGAGGAGAGAGTAGGATAGAGAAGAGATATAGAGGTAGAGAGAAGAGAGCTGTAGATAGAAAAGGAGAGAGGTAGAGAGAAGAGATATAGATAGGGAGAGAGAGAGAGATAGAGAGCAGAGGAGAGTAGAGAGATAGAGAGAGAGAGAGATAGTAGAGAGAGAGAAAGAGAGAGAGTAGATAGAGAGATAGAGAGCGATAGCCAGAGTAGAAGAGAGATAGAGAGAAGAGAGCGAGAGTAGAGAGAGAGAAAGAGAGAGAAGAGAGAAGAGAAGAAGAGAGAGAGAGGAAGAGAGAGAGAAATAGAGCGGGAAAGAGATAGAGAAAGAGACAGGATATGAGAGATGAGAGAGAAGATAGCGAGAGAGATAGAGAGAGAAGAGAGAGAGAGAGAGAGAGAAGAGAAGAGAGAGAGAAGAGAGGAGAGAGAGAAGAGAGAAGCGAGAGAGAGAGAGAGAGAGATAGAAGAGAGAATAGAGAGAGAAGAGAGAAGCTATGAGGAAGAGAAGAGAGAGAAGAGAGAGATAGAGATAAGAGAGAGAGAGAGAAAGGAGAAGAGGAAGAGGGGGAGAAGAGAGGAGAGAGAGAAGAGAGAGAGAGGGTAAGAGAGAGAGAGAGAGAGAGAGAGGAGAAGAGAGAGAGAGAGACATAGCGAGAGAGAGAGAGAGAGGAAGAGCAGATAGATAGAGAGACGCGAGAGAGAGATAGAGAGAGAGAGATGGAAGAAAGAGAGAGAGGTAGCATAGAGGGAAGATGAGAGAGATATAGTAGAGAGAGATAGAAGAGAGATGAGAGAGAGAGAGAGGGAAGAGATGTAGAGAGAGATAGAGAGAGATATAGAGAGGAGAGGGGGGGAAGAGAGAGAGATAGAGAGAGGAGAGCAGAGCTAGAGAGAGAGAGTAGAGAGGGAAAGAGAGAAGATGGAAGACGAAATAGAGGTAAGAGAGTAGATGAGAGAGAGAGAGATGAGAGATAGAGAGGAGATAGACGAAGAGAAGAGAGAGAGAGATGGAGAGAGAAGAAGAGAAGAGAAGAGAGAGGAGAAAGAGAGAGAGAGATAGAGATAGAGAGTAGAGAGAGACAGACAGATATAGAAGAAAGAGAGAGAGAGAGGAGACGGGAGATAGAGAGAGATAGAGAGAGAGAGAGTAGAGAGACCAGTAAAGAGAGAGAGAGAGAGAGAGAGAGAGAGAGAGAGAGAGATAGAGAGAAGAGAGACAGAGAGAGGACAGAGTAGAAGAGAGGAGAGAGAGAGAGATGAAACACACACACAACAGAGAGAGAGAGAGACGAGAGTAGAAGAGAGAGCGAGAGAGAGGAGATAGAGGAGAGAGAGAGGATAGAGAGAGATGAGAGAGAGAGAGAGGAGAAGAGAGAGCTGAGAGAGAGGAGAGAGAGCGATGAGAGAGGATTAGAGAGCGGAGAGAGAGGAGAAAGCGAGAGAGAGTGAGATGAGAGCGAGATGAGAGGAGAGAGAGAGAGAGACAGAGATGAGAGGAGATAGTAGGAGGAGAGAGAGGAGAGAGGAGAGAGAGAGAGAGGGAGCGAGAGAGGAGGAGAGAGACGATGAGAAGGAGAGAGAGGCGAGAGAGAGGAGAGAGAGGAGAGAGAGGAGATAGAGCGAGGAGAAGAGAGAGAGAGAGAGAGAGGAAGAGAGAGAGAGAATATGAGAGAGAGAGAGATATTAGAGGAGAGAGAGAGAGAGAGAGGAGAGAGATAGAGAGGAGGGAGAGAGAGAACGAGAGAGAGAGAGAGAGAGAGAGAGAGGAGAGATAGGAGAGAGAAGAGAGAGAAGAGTAGAGAGAAGAGAGAGAGAAGAGAGAGAGAGAGGAGAGAGAGAGGAGAGAGAGAGAGAGGAGTAGGAGCGAAGAGAGAGAGGACAGAGTAGAGAGAAGAGAGCGAGAGAGAGAGAGAGAGATGATAGAGAGAGCAAGAGGTAGAGCAGATAGAAGAGAATAGAAGAGGAGAGAGAGAGAGAGAGAGAGAGAGAGAGTAGAGATAGAAAGAGAGAGAGAGAAATAGAGAGAGAGAGGAGAGAGAGGGAGAGAGAGAGAGAGAAGAGGAGAGAATGAGACCAGGAGAAGAGAGATAAGATAGGAGAGACTAGAAGGAGGAGAGAGGAGGGGGGGGGGGGGGGATGGAGAAGAGAGTATAGCGAGATAGAGAGAGAGAGATAGGAGATGATATGAGAGAGAGATGATTATAACAGAGAGAGAG